TGGTAAGTGAATCTTGTACCTTAGACTAAGAGATTTCAATTACTGAGTTTCGGCTCACTCTTTATTTTTCATATATGTAAGATGGATGTCCCACTACCACCACTTTTTGGAGTTCCCATGCATTTTGATTATGTTTATGAAGATGCACTTGTACCTAGATCACCAGTAGTATCTAATAAGTGTACTTCCACTATATGGGTCGACATAGGACTTTTAGAGTGGATTCCCCATCATTTTGTCGCTTGGAATCTTAACATCGAGGGCGAGTTGGTTGGGCCCTTAGAGGCTTTGATGGTCCTCCAGGTTCGATGATGATGGTTTGTCGATGGGTGAAGTTGTCGACCCTTAGTTGATGATCCGATAGTGTACAGGCAGGCTTTTAGGCGTAGAAGTATAATATTGTATTGTAAAACTGGTGTTAATATATATAAAAGATGGATATGTATTTTATTAAACTTGTATGGGATTTTTGTGAGTGCTTTAATATGCTTCCGTGTGCTTTAATAATTATAAGTAATAATTGGAAAAGATACATATCGCACGTAACATTCTAGGGCGTCACACAAGCGATGGCCGGGCGACCTGGCCACGCTTGGGTGAGGGTCGCTATTGCCTGCCACAAGCGAGGCCGCCCTGGCCTGGGCTTGCCCTCGCCTAGGCGTGGCCCAACGAGGGTTGTCCTCGCCCATGCTAGATCTGGCGAGGTCGACCCTTGCTCGGGCAACCCTCGGCAAGGCTACCCCTGGCTTGGGCAAGGACCACCCTCACCAAAGCTAGCGAGGGGAGCCCTCGCTTGTGGCGGGCGACAGTGACCCTCACCCAAGCGAGGCCAACTCGTCCGGTCATGACTAATGGCCAGTCACTAGCAAAAGGAAGAAGAAAGGAAAAAAAATAAAGAATAAAGGAAAAAAACAATAAAAAATCGAAAAAATATTTAAATATTATTAAAAATTGTCCATGTTAACAATATCCGGCTAAAATTAGCCCAAAGGATTGAATTGGCACGAGGCCAAAAGGTTTAGGATAAATTGACATAATTAAAAGGTTTAAGACTAAATTGGTACCAATGCAATAAGTTTAGGACTTTTCTGACACTTTCCCTTAATTGAACGCTTGAAATGTTATGGCATCAAAGTGAACGCCTTAAAAAAGTTATGACACCGTTAGTATCTTTTTTCCCGATAAAAGTTTAATACTAGTATAGTTTAATTAAAAACTTATGATGTAGTAATTTAAAGGTTAAGGATTTCATTGCACTTCTTAATACAAGTTTGGATTTGATTGTACCAACTAACAAGTTAAGCACTCAACACATTTAGAACATCAAATTTAGGGCTCAATATATACTTTTCCTAAATCTGAATAGCATATTAAACCACAAACACTACAACTAAAGAACTGGGATTAAAAAAATACATATAACATGAATTTGACACGGCATAACTTGCATAACATGATATACATTTAGGTTGTGTTTCCCTCATCCAATCTTGGTCTCTGATTAATAAATTAGAAGAATTTGTTATCCGTCAATCAGAGAGTTAAAAGGATAAAGAAAAATACGTTTCTATTTGGAGATCGAAAGTATAAAAACTAAGGCTCCGTTCGTTTTGCGGAAATTAACTTTCAGGAAAATGTTTTCTGGATTTTCTGGCGTTTAATTCACTGAAAATAAACAAGTCAAGGAAAACGTTTTCCGTCAATGGAAAAAACACTTTCAAAAGTAGGTAAATTGAAAAGAGGAAATCATTTTCCCTCCTCTTTCTTTCACCATTCATTTTAATTATTTTTATTTTTATTTTAAATTCTAATTTTGAATTAATTTTCATTAATTTTCCTTTTGTTTTCTTCTTCTTCGGCCGGTCGTTGGCCATCGCGAAGGTGGCCAACGACTAGTCGGAGAAGAAGGGAAAAGAAAAGAAAGAAAAAGAAAAAAAGAAAAAAAGAAAAGAAAAGAAAAGAAAAGAAAAAATAAAAATAAAAATAATTAAAAAAATCAATTTTAAAAACATAAAAATAAAAAAATATATATTAAAAGTAGTTCATGGAAGAAAATCAAATCAAATTTTCCATACCAAACAGTGAAAAATACTTTTTGAGTCTTTTTCAAATTTCATCCAAAGATTGGAATATTGTGTCATTTTCCGGGAAAATGGTTTTTTGAAAAACATTTAAACGTCACATTTTCCGTAAAACAAACGGACCCTAAACTTATATTGTACATCCCTGCCCAGAGATAAGGGAGAGGATCTAGTCAGGTTCAACTAATAAATTGTTTTGTTTAGAATGAATAATTCACGTGATACTACTTTGTGATCTCCGTTTGTTTCGTGAAAAATGAATAATTTGGATATCATTTTCCTAAAAATAGTTGCTCGTATCTATTATAAAAATGACTAAACCAAAATATCTTTATCGTTCACGAAAATATTTAATGGAAATATTTTTCATTGACTAATTATTTCAAGCAATACGAGCAATCATTTTTAGGAAAATAATAATAAAATTATTCATTTTCTGCAAATAAGAATGCATTCACAGTCAAACAAAGATGATTTTCTTGCTTTCTAAGGCATATAACATTCAGTTTCCTCCTCTCCAATATTTTACATATTTATAACCATCGCAAAAAACAAACACCAGCCTTTAATAATTTCGAAGACCACTTTTGTCAAAAACTTACACCAGACACAGCTGTCTTGGGAGGAAATTATACGAGACAAATGGAGAATATTCGTTCAAGTAAAAAGTCCAAATTTCTAGATGTCTTGAAAATTCCAATCAGTTAGGTCTTTTTTTTTATTATTAAGCTCGTGCTCCCAAATCCTAATATGATAAACGTGTGAATGTAGCTATCTTAACCCTACTTGGTTAATTTTGTCAACCGATGATGTCATGTAATTTCTGTTGTGTAAGTTTGGAAATAGTCCATATCAAACTAGTCACTATTGGACCAAACCTCTGCATACAGGTCGTTCTCTTAGCTTCCTACTGGGCGGGATGCGTGTAGTCAAGAAAAAGTTAATACCCGTATTGGAAGCACGTGAGTCCAGTGCATATGATCCGTCGAATCTTGTGAATCCAACGTGGGATTCGTACGATCCAACGGATGAAGTGCATTGAGCCAATTGCACCATCCATGGAACAGTCTCATCCTTAATGACATCAGCATCATCTATCGATGTCAAATAGTATGTTTGCTAAGTGTTTTTCCTAGTTTCGATCTAGCTAAAGTTCTTAGAGATTTCAACTTCTGGCCTGATTGTACAAGCAAACTATGCTTCCTTGGCAAGGACCAGTTTGATGAAATTTTGTGAGGATGAGGTGTCTCCTTGGGGAGTTGCCTGGTGTAGGCCAAATCTATATTGAATTCTACACTCACAAACAATAAATCAAGGCGATGATAATCAATGATTGTGATTGTCCATGATTCATTCTCTTTGTCTCTTTTGTCGAATTAGCTTTCTATGCTTGAGAGGTGTAGCACCATAATGAAGCATGGCAACTACTCGAGGGATCAAGCAAGATTTATGCTTAGCCAAGGATCCTTCTTTTATTTATCTCCCCGAATTTCAATAGACATGCAGGGACAATAGATCATTGCATTAATAAAGAATCATCATGGGCAAGAAGAATTGAGAATTTCTAAAATTAAGGAGTGAATTATTAAATTTATTCTATTGAGAGATTGATACACCTCACCACTAGGCCTATTGGATGGTCTAGATTTATTCCTTTTTTTCCACTTTTTTCTTTCTTTCTTTCTTTTTTTCACTTTCCTTTTATTATTATTATTTTTTTTACCTCTCTCTCTTGGAGTAGTAACGCCACGTCATTGCCCCGCCATCACGGCCACACCTTTGTCGGAACCCCTGCGACCCACGGCTCTCTCTCTCTCTCTTTGCCCGAGGTTGGGGCCGCCATTTCTCATGGCACATAAAACTCTATGGTCGTAGCTTACGCGCAAGCGAACCCTTGGCCTAGAACATATAGGGGCTGGGGTGGAAAGGGATTGTGAGATAAATCAAATAGGAGATGAAGAGTAAAGACAAGGGACGACGGTTGGGTGCAATGATAGTGCAGCCTGTCGTCGACCATGGCGTGGTGCGATGGCTATTGTAGAGGGGTGGGCGATAGCAAGAGAGATAGAGAAAAGAGTATAATAGGTTCTTTGGGTTTGAGGGTAAATTTCAATAAAATCATAATGTTAAAGTCATTTCGAGAAACCTGCAACTCCTCTCTAATTTTAGAGGATTCCAATTGTAGTAAGCTTATGTTCGGCTTAGGTCCTTCACGTGACAAATTTGAATTGATTGTTACATCCAAAACAACACATGTAAATTTAAATGAATTTGTAAAACTTTCACTACATGTAGTAAGTGCATGTGTGACAATACCAAATACCACAAGTAAGCGGCCCATAAACTCATGGAAAAATTACTGTTGAGGGAGTCGGAGTCAAGATAACTCATGGTGCCTGTCTTGACGTGAGCCAAATATCATTCGAAAAGAGACCTTTTCCCATCATTCAAAAATTCACAAGATCTCTCAGTCTCCTTTTGCCTTTCTAAAGAAACCTGCATCCTCTGCCTCTCATGCCATCCCTTTTCCCCACATTTCCAAGCACTTTACCTTACTCTCCAAGCCACCAGACCCCCCACAAGCCGAGGAATACAAATCAAATCCTTTGACCGCATGATTTCTATCCAACTCATGCGTGGAAGTTAAACAAGAAGGGGAAAAATCAAACCCCTGAGTGATGCCACTCATTACGCATTTGTCTTTCACCTTACCTCACACCTTTCCCTTAATTTTCATCTGCTGCTTCTCTCCTCTTACACAATTGCAGACGTCCACGTCGCCAACCTTCTACCGCAAGGAAAATTCAGACTCGTTGATGGGTGGGTCACCAATAAGATGGCAACATATTATACTGGTCTGCAGGGGGACACAAAAGCCACACCCATCAACATTATTATGGTATTCAATGGAACGAGAAGGCAGCACACAATGTACATCCACATGCAGACGCAATCCGAGCCATAAAAGTATGAAGTGGCGGCTCCTGATCTTGACCCCGCGGTCAGCAATCTCTACTCCCCCCTATCTTTTTGTTCTTTCTCTCCTGCTTCCTCTGCCCACTCCTCCTTTCCTTTATATAAAGTTCTGTCTCTACCTCCCCATCTCTCAGTGTCATCGATAATTCTCTTTCTTTCTCTCTCTCCGTGTCAAGGGGGCTTTTGGCCAAAAGTCGTCGCCATGGAGGTGATGATACCGCCGAGCATGGAGTTCGACTTCAACAGCGCGCGTTCCTCTCCGCACGCGAGCGCTCCGGGAACGCCGAAACGCTTCGGCGAGTGCTTCTTCAGCGCTCCGACCAGCCCTGCTCGCATGGCCGATTTCTACCGCGAGTTTGACGAGTTCTCCGCGAAAAACCTGAGCGACCCTTCTTCTTCTCCTTCTTCATGTTCGGCCACTGTTCCATTCGTTTGGGAAGAGAAGCCCGGCACTCCAAAATCACCGCGGCCGAGGACTTTCGGTAGGGAACCCGTTGATTATAAAGATGATGGTGATGATGGATTCAACTTCGCTTTCGACTTGAGCAAGGACTCGGAGAGGCACTCTCTTTCGGCTGAGGAGCTCTTCGACGGTGGGAAAATCCGCCCGCTCAAGCATCCGCCGAGGCTACAGAGCAACCGCTCAGCTCTGATGCCTCCGAAGAGCCCGCTCGCGCCATCGCCCAAGACTCCGAGATCGCAAGCCAGAGGCATGTTTTCGCCTAGAGCGAGAAAGGAAAGCGACCCTTTCGAAGCAGCAATCCAGAACGCTAGGAGGAGCGCAGAGCCCCGCCAATCCAGAGGCAGAGAGAGGTTGCAAGGTTCGAATTCTGGCCGGAGAGGGGCCCGGTCGCTGTCCCCATACAGGGTCTCTGCCTATCCCTGGGAGGAAGAAGAGAAACAGCTGACCAAGCAGAGGCCAACGTCCAAGCCCCCCTGTTTCACGGGTCCTTCGGCTTCGTCTACATCGAAAGGGTCGTCCAAGAAGTGGAGTTTGAAGGACTTTTTGTTGTTCAGAAGCGCATCGGAGGGTCGGGCCACTGACAAGGACCCATTCAGGAAGTACGCGGTGGGTGCGCTCAGGAAGGACTCGGTGAGGAACGCGAGCTTCCGTTCCATCGACAGCCCCACCGGTTCCATGTCGCGGAGGCGAGGCCCAGTCTCTGCGCACGAGCTGCACTACACCGTGAACAAGGCGGTCTCGGAGGATCTGAAGAAAAAGACCTTCCTTCCTTACAAGCAGGGGATCCTGGGGAGGCTGGCTTTCAATCCCGCGGTCCATGCCCTGGCTAACGGATTCGGGTCACTGTATCGGCAATGAAATTTGATCTTAATATGAATCTTTTGTTCGTCTGAAAATCATAGTTTTGTTTTCCCTTTGCTTATGTAAAGTGATTTCTTTGTTCAAGTGTAGAGTTCTTTTCGTGAGGAACGTGTTTCGTATATGTTGTATGATCAAGGAGAAGAGATCTGTTCTTTCAATGATTAATTGAGCTCTTCATTCTTTTCCACTGCAGATCGATTAATGTCCCTGCGGTCACAAATGTTAGGCAAGAAAGTATTGATTTTCTGGGGCATATGTTACTGCAGCCAAGGTTTTGATTGAGCAAATTTAAGCAGACCGCCTCTATGATATGGTAACTCGTTGTGATTTAGTGCATATCATCGTAAATCCTATACAAAAGAACTCTAAAATCGCTTAACCAAACCGCTGACTGAGATTTATTATTCTGCGATCTGAGCGCCACAAACCTGGAGCAGAGGTTCCTCGGATTCGGGTATTATGGAACAACCCATTAAAGGGTACAGCGTTCAGGTGAAAATCTGGAGACTGTCTATCCTCATCTCAATTAGGGAAACGAAGCCATTTCATAGAAATGTTTTATCAGACGAAGTGCGTGTGAACATGTGATTGGGACCATGCGATGATATACCCTGTTTGACTAATCAATCCAATAGGTCAGCTTGGGGGTTTCATTGTTCACGCTGAGTTTGTTGCTAAACCTACCAATCTAGCAACCTGAATGCAGAGAGTTTGATACATCACGAATGCTCTGTTTACTCTGCAATTTTTCGTGAGTTCTTGCAAGTGTCCTGCAGATTTCTGCACAAACCAGGTTGCGAAATTCTTCGCTTCAACTCATTATTGAATTGTGAAAGTGATGGTATCTAAAAGGGGTGAAAACTTGCTCATGATTGCAAAATCTTACTCTATTACTTTTATTTTATCTCAGCACTTAGCGTCAGCAAAATATTTAGTTGAAAAAAACGGTCGGTAGGATAGAACTTCTGTCAACTTTCTAGAAGTGGGAGACTTCAACACCTAACCTTTCACATGCTTCCACCCGAATATTAAAAGGGGAAGAAAAACCCCACCATAAAAATAACTATAGATCAGCCGTCTAACTTGACAAAGTCTTGGTTTGTTTATAAATTACGACTTGAAGCTCTGGATTTTGTTAAAACCGAGCTTATGGTACATGCTGGCTGATAAAGGACAAGAAGCCGGATACCAAAAACTCAAACATCAAGACACATCATGGGATTGAAACGACCAAAATCTTAACATGAATATTATATGTTTGATGATGTGTGAAGTTGATCCTGTTTGGAATAGCCAAAATGGAAGTTTCACCCCCTTTTGCTATTGCTATACCAGGTACCCGAAATCCAAAATCATATGATCTGACGAAACAGCGAAGTTACAACACCAACAATATTGAAACTCCTACTTCGAATTTCAGATTACATTTTGTACTACTTTAATTTTCACCAGCTTCCCAAATTATCTACAGATCGGTGCCGCGTCCGGATGCACTATCCCGAACCAGTGATACGAAGTTGGGCGCCGCAAAGGAAACGGACTTGTTGCAGCCTGCTGGTACCAGTTGCCCTTTCTGCAATGATACAAGCAAATCTGAATTGTGCTTAGTGAAAAATAGAAGGTCACGCAAAAATCGACCATCATATTCAACCATAACAGGCGATTGATGCGATTCAATTATGAAGCCAATTCTCATACTTGCAATCTGGCCAATTATAAAAGCAGGATGGGTAGACAAAGATGTGCATGGACATTCCAAAGTCATGCGCAGCCCAGCATCTGTGTGATTAACAATTGCAGACAGTAGAAAGCAAGGTTTCAATCCTCCTCTCAGATGCCGACAGATTACTAACAATAGAAGAGCAGATCACTACCTCCATGAAACAAGCTCAATCAAAGTTATCGATTTTGACTGGTGTGATGTCATCGGCAACATCAAAGCGTCCAACCAAACATGCAAAAAACAGCATTTGTTGTTCCAAAGTGAATTTGATATTTTCAGCCTGCGTAACAATGCATGTCAATTTCCTGCATTGCACACACAACAATGACTTGTTTATGTAAGACTCCAGGAGAACAATACCTTGCGAAAACCATGCTGCTCGCCTTCGTATTCCACTAATGCAACAGGCAGACCTTTCTGCTTCAATGCGGCATAAATTTTGCGAGCCTGATCCGGTGGTACAACCTGCAAGATTTAGTAGATTATTGCCAAACCGCAAAGCAGCAAATCTATTAAAATGCCAGAGATGTAAACAGAATATCCGAAGGTCATTGATGACAATTAATTATCAACTGAAAAGAGAGAGTCGAACTTATCTGATGCTATTTCATAAATTAGGAAATTGACACTGGACTTTTTTGCCACTTTCCTTTCTTTCTTCACTTTTTCTTTTATTATTTGGGCAGTAACTGGAGAGCATTACTTGCGTACCTTGTCTTCCAACCGTTGGAATAGAATTATGGGGCAAGAAAATTTCTCGACAGAATTTATAGGCGATCTCTCGTAGCAATCCTTCTCAGACACTGTAGTGCAACTAATGCAGGATCAGTGTAAGGACTTATCTGAGTTGAGATGAAACACACACGAAAGCTCATCTAAATTACCAACAAAATTGTCGAGGTAATGACATTCGAATTTGTGTGTTTCTGCTTTCAACATGTTCAAATCAGCAACCTGTTCATCAAAATAACCGATAGAAAAATATCCCTTTTTAACATCGTGTAAATTCGATGCATCAAAATAGTAGAAAATAATGATGAATTTATAAATGAATCTTCAGATGTACCAAAAGAAATGGGGAAATTTAAGTATCCTGAACTCCTAGAAAACACCAACTACGACCGATGCACAGTGCCAAAGTGTAATAAAATTACGCTTTATGGTAGTTCATAGATCATGATACTAATGTTCTTAACAGTCTGCTCTTGCCAGTAGACTTTCCAGGAGATGCATTTAATAGGAAGACACAATGAAGATGCTTTATATCATTCACCAGCACCAAGAAAGTCACAAAAAATGATCGATGATTATGCTATAGGCATTAATGTCCACAGTCCAGAGCTCTTTCAGATGTTTGTGTGCTTTGTCAGGTTAAGATAAGAACGACCTCCCTCTGGTGGCCCCAGAAATAAGACGGGTTCCTGACATTGGTGCCGAATGGCGAATTTAACTATTCTGAAACCGACTTTAAAGTAAATGAACTCACACCATAGAGTGAGGCTCCAGCTCTGAAAGTTTCTCTAAATGCTAGAGTAGCTAAGGTTGTGTACCCACCAGCAGAGACTCCAGTGATGCATATACGATTGCCATCCACTTTTCTACTTTCCACCTGGATGAAAAAAGCTACTTCACCATACTGAAACAGTTCTAGTATTCCTTTACCCAATGAGCACTAACTGAAAATTGCCTACCAAAAATTTAGCACTACTACAACAGTCATCAACATCAACTATACCCCAGCGACCCAATAGCCGCTCTCTGAATTCTCTGCCATAACCTTGAACAAAAATTTAGTGACATTTTTCAGTGGCCATGAAGAAGATCAGTCAAATGATGGGCCAAAGCTAGCAATATTTGCAGTCATTTATGTTAACTAAACTCCATGAGGAATTGGTGAGAATAGAGCATAGCGCTGTTGAAATAGCAACGGTGCTTCATTACCATCCAAAGTCGAAAAACAGGTGTTGCTGAGATCAAAAGGAAGATATGAAGTAGGAACTTTTCGTTTAGAGACAAACCAGTGCTTCCACCGTAATTGACATCCACGAAGGCCCATCCTCTGCTAGTCCAGTACTGAATACTCAGGTTTAAAACCCCTCGTGTTTCACGTGTAGGCCGTCCTGTGCAATTTTAAGTATAATTACGTAAACACTTATTCATTAATAGATCTATATGAAAACATTGGTGGTACAAATCTCCCACGAAAGAATATAGAGTTGGCAAGGTAAATTCAAGTATGACAAGATCTGAGTTGCAATTTTTCAAGTACCATGGCTTTTTAACAACAATGGAGGCTTTACTTCCTGACTAGCTTGATAAAATTGATTGGATAGAGGATAGAAGTATGCATAAGCATTTTGACCAGGAACTTACAGTTGGAAATTCAATCAGCTCTGGCAAGCTGAAATAAGAGTCGTACTTCAGACTGTCTGGTGAAGATGACCATATTATCTGAAAATCGATGACTTCGGACTTTTCATCATTAAAAGTCACCTGCAGACCATAAACAAAAAGTTATAACAACAATGGGAATTGCTAATTACTGCAGCACTGTCCACACTTCATCAAATATGAGGAGATTACTAAGGTAAAGTATTGCAAGCAACCTAGCCACAGACGTTGGAAGTACTCCTGATGCTCCCTCAATGTAAAGGCAATTATTCCCTGAAGTCTGCAAAAGCAGTGAAGGGACGTATCGAGAACCGAGACAGAACGATCACGCAGAAAACAGAGAAAATAGACGATGCACGAATTTACCCAGGTTCACCCTCGATTAGGGTTACGTCCTACAAAGAGATTTCACTATGTTTTTTCGGTTTACAGCCACTCAACTCGTTACAATGATCAGAAAAACGAGCAAAATATATATATGCCCCAAACGGGCCAAAAACCTAAACCTATATGAAATCTCTTAATCTCGCACTATACGGGCCAGCCCAAACCCGTTGAGGTTTCGGGGGCAGTCCGCTGACCGGGCAGCGGAACCCCCGTCGGGGGGCGCTGCCCCCAAACCCCCGCCCGCTGACCGGGCAGCGGGGCACCCGTGTCGGGGGCGCTGCCCCCGAACCCCCGCATTCCGCACGCATGGGTCACATGTCGTCGGACAACACTTCAGTTTCCCTAAGCTCACGTGGGCGTACCCGGTGTGAGAAACAAGGGTCCCCGAAATATTCGCCAACTCCAACAAGCAGAACGTGCACAATTTACCCAACCATCAGCTTGTCGTTTCAGCGACTCATCATAAAGAAGGTATTGAACATACTATGTCTTGTATGTCCATGAATGGAATGTCAAGCGATGATAATGAGCTCAGAAGAATGTCAATAATCACAAGATGAGACATTCCCCTCTGCCTGCATGCAGATTTTAAATAAATCAATATGAGAAATCATACAATAATTGGCTATTAGGATAATCTTTACACGTCAGGTCATCACATGGG